TGCAATTGTGAATTTTTCAAAGGAGAAGGGAACAGAATCGTCATTTTGTTCATCAAACTCGGTGAGTTGATCTTTGAACTCGACAAGTTGACATGCAACTCGATGTGGTAATTGCCCAACTCGACGAGTTGCACTGTCAGATCCAAGATTTTCGGTTTTGATAATTGTCTCATGGATTGATTAGGATAATTACCTTAAATTCGTTTTAATTTTTTAAAATTGGATATTTTAATCAGTAGTTTTGTATCCTTATCATGAATTCATGATTGGGTTAAATTTTTGATAAAGATAAAATTAATTTGTTAATTTAATTATTAAAAATTTAACCTAGTCCGGAAAATCTAAGGATAACTATAAATATAAGTTGCACGGAAAGAACGAGAGTGTAGCTTAACTTACAGGGATTATTCCCGACCAAAGTCCGGAAAATCGCACTCGCAGGGTTCCTACCGAATGGCTACTACTTAGTTGAATACCTAAGGGGTTGCAGGGCTTCGCCGGAACATAGAAACTAAGGGAAAATAGGCCAAAATCGAAGGAAACGAGAGAGAGAGAGAGAGAGAGAGAGAGAGAGAGAGAGAGAGAGAGAGAGATAGAGAGAGAGAAAGAGAGAAAAAAAAGAATGGGAAGTGTGGAGAAGGAATGAGGGTGGCTCGCTATTTATATGACCAAAATCGGACCTGCGCCTCGTGAAAATGGAGTGCACGTCGCGCGCATAAGGTGACGTCTCACCAGTCGATTTGTGTCATGTTTCGGCTTCTCTGTGGTATGTGTTTTCACCTTCTAAAAGTGCACGTTGCGGACCCGACGCGCACCGCACGCGACGCAAAACGCAGATTTTGTAAATTTCGTAACTTCTTCATACGAAATATGTTTTTAACGTTCTTTATATCCCTGAAAAACTCATGACAAGATCTACAACTTACCTTTAAACTCCATTGGCTAATTCTGAATTTATTTTTCGTCCCTATTTTTATATGATTAAATGATTATGCTAAAATCATAACTTTTTCGTATGGACTCCGTTTTAGGCATTCTTTTTCTCAAAATTTTTATCTTAAAGAGTACTACGATTTTCCTTTTGGTAACTTTAGCTAAAAGTCAATCATTCTCTTCGTAGTTTTTTACGTCACACATTCTTAGTGTGTAGTTGACTTTTATATCTTCAAAAAAATCATATCTAATTCATACGGAGTCGAATTTCTACGAAATTTATATTTTCGGGACCGGGACGACGTGTACTTTATATATATATA